GGCATGTCAGCCCCTAATGACAGCCAATTGACATATGCACAGGGTCTTCTGGGAGCGGTCTGCCAGCTCACCGGCATTCAGTTGGTGCTTCCTATCTGGACCTAGGTACAGGTAATGCTTCACCGGAATAGATGTAGCCCGACTAATGCTTGGTCACAGATGTTTTACTCGGTATAAACCTGTCGGACCTGCTCTACCCTGCGCAACTCTGCTATCATTCACTGGGCAATATTAAATCACTAAATCACAGTGTCTGTCCCCATTGACTTCTCAGCGTTGAGTGATGGTATCCGCTTTTGGCTCCCGTATTGTGTTTGCATGTGCGCCTGGAGGACAACTAAACACGCATTATTCGGTTTGCGCCTGGAATGGCAACCTGCAGGCTCACACCTCCATGTGGACACAACCTATGCAGAGGCAACGGCTGTCTTACAGCGGAGACAACACGAGTCTAATAAGTCCAAATCTTGCACAAGGCGCTGCTGTTCGGTCGCAAGCGTGCCTTAGATGCTCGATCTAGGACACACATCGTCGATTTACCTTTTTAGTTACGGCGGCTGCAAAACTCTGATGACCTAGATGCAAATCTAAAAGTCCATTTTACTGGCGCCGGTACCCCGTACATCATTGATCTTCTCACCAGCCTGAGCAGATCAACTGTGGTCTTCACTTCTTCACCCTTCGGTGGTGGTACATGTACAACAATGGGAGAGAGCGCCTCTCCCAAACCCAATTAAACCACCATGCGAGAATCTCATTTGCTCATGCTCCACTCGTCGTCCCAAGATGGGGTCAGCAACGGGTAATCACGTCAACATCACTTCGTGAGGCACGATTTGAGGCTATCAGGGGAAACCTTCTCTTCCAGGCAGGCCAGTCTTTTGGGTCTCCTTGGTCGCAGGTATACAACAGATTTGGGGCATTTTAAGATATGTTGGAAAGATTTGGGTTAGTACCCAGAGGGCTTTCAGACTACCTATCTGCCCCTCAAGACGGTGGAAGGCAGCTTGTCGAGGCCCATGTCTCTCGCTCCATGCCGGGCAAGGTTCACCCCTGTCAATAGTCCACAAACCTCAGGCGAGTGTCATCGGCCCTCCCTCTCAAATAAGACGAAGTCAATATTTGTGCCGCGATAGGGATGATGACGAAAGCAGAAATGAGGGCATCAAAAGAAAAGGAAAATACTAGGTAATTGCCCTCTTTGCGACCTCTATTCATTTCGTGGTGTCTTGTATCTCAGGGCAGCTTCTGCATATCTGCAACAAGGTATGGCGGCGTCATAATACGTCCCAAGAAGGCTGAATTGGGTCCGAGGAGTGTGCCGAGATGTCCATTTGTTGTCGGCGCCATCCATACTGCCAACTCAGGCGCCGCGCCGCAGCCACAAAAGGATGCCCATTCAACCGCCTCATCAGCCTGCGGACACCCGAGCCCTTTCACCGAGATGATGGGGGAAGATGGCATGGAACGCCTTGTGCTGCTCGGGCGCTTGGGGAGACTCCTACTGTATGTGTAGCACGGTCGCCCATCGCTGCTCCGTTTGAAAGATGAATCCCAAGATGCGCCAGTACGAGATATCTAAATGCCGAGGTACCTAGGTAGTTTGCACACAACAATCAAAAAGTGCATCGACGATATGTCGCCTGGGAGGGAGGGGCGGAGGAACTGTGATACACGCTACGTATTATGAGGCGTGAAATTTAGCTTGGGGACTCTCGCCACACGCACACACACCACCCTTGCTTGTACCACGGCAGACGATTGCCGCGCGTGTGATGGCCAGGCAGCTCCCAGCGCAGAAACATTCGAACCCCAACAGTGGCAGCCACAGCACAATCATCTACCTTCACCGAAGCGAGGGTTGGAGATGGGAGGTTGGATGATTCCATGTCTCTCATGATGTGCCGGCCCGTCTACCAAGCCTGGGCTTGGGATGTTGTATGTATGTACGGAGTACGCAAGCCCAATGCATTCGCCCATTGAAGGTCTTGGCCGACTGATTGTATGATCTACAGTCTGCGGTCAGATAGTTGGCCATGTCCACGGATGCTTATGAGGAGGACGGTACCGGCCTAGGTACCTACCTAATAGTATACTGGCATGATTTGTTCCTGGATGCTTCCTCGCCTGCACGACCCATAGGAGCCGGTGTCCCATTTGGCCATGTTTTTTTGTCTGACCTTTTTTTGGCCTTTTCTGGGATTGTGGGTGGACATTGACTCGACGGGCCGCCAAAGCAATCAACTGATCCTGCAATACATCAGTGCGACGGCCAACAGCACGACCGAGCTACCTACCTAGGTAGGTAGGTACCTGTGTAGGTGCTCAAGTGACGAGGGAGAGAGACACAGTATATTGTCTTGCCCAGAGCCCATTCGCGATTCACCGGTCCAGACTTGCCGGTGGTTTTTGGCGGGTTCTCACTCCAGGCACGGGGTGCTACCCGTGTAGAAGGGATTGTAATGGCGTACTCCGTATCATGTGCTCTGTTCGGTTCTCTGCATTGGCACGGGTTCGAGCTGGTTGTCCGTACAGAGAGGACTCTGAGGCGCACGCAAACCACCGACCTTCTTTGCTTCTTTGCCCGGCAGCCATCCGTGCACCAACTGGAGCCAAGCAAGCGGGCATCCAAAAGGAGGTTACGAAGTACTTGAGTGAGCATGTATCCCTCTGGGTGCTCGAAGGTGCCACTTGCGTACCGAGCTATGAAAGATACATAAGTTTCCTAAGAATTAATATGATGGTATGAGTACTAGTAATTTCCGTATTTATAAAGAGCTACATCGCACTTATCGCAGCTCGGAGGTTTAGTGGCTGACCTTGTTGCCAAAAAGATACCTGCTGGGTATTGCAAAAACAGTGGGGCCGTTACAAAATCGGCACCTTCGAGCACCCAAAGGGATGTACATACTTGAGGCAAAAGTGGAGAATGCCATCTGTTGGGGTTCCATCGTCCATCGTCCATCTGCCTGCCACCTGGGCCACTTTTGCAAGGTCAAGGTCAGGGATGACGGGATCAGGGGCCGCCTCCTCCAACCAGGAGTTGATAATTTTTCCTTGACGGCTGGAAAGATTCGCTGCGAGCCATCATGCTGTATGTAGTTATACAGATATTCGCCTGCAGCGTGCGGTTTTTTCTCCAAGACCCTCATGTCCACGTATGATGCATCCATCGGGTATCGCCTAAAAGGGGTCAATGCATGGAAGCTTCCAAAGTTTGGGAAAGGTCGGTAAATCACTCATGCACTTGAGATGGCAAAAGCAATTTCAACACACTCGCAACGCAGGTTCCTGCGCCTATAGCAGCTACCCTACACCGCGACCGGGTTTGCGGGCAATTAATATATTATCATTTCAACCGTTGGCACTAGACAACATGGAACCTGAGACTTCTCCGCACTCTACCGGGCCAATGTGCTGGGACGCGAACATGCTCGCGATATTGTCGGGCCTTTGGTGACTTGAGTCGTGTCCAGACATGCCTTGCGGGACACATCTAGGTCACCGAAGCATATCGTGAAGCATATTGTGCTTAAACTCGGCCCTCGAGACGCAACAGGAAAGGAACAACCCTGTCCCCTGACGCAGCCTGTCCACCTCAGCACCGTGTGCCTGAATCAGGCTCTTGGCTTCCTCCGTGCCCTCGCGAGGTGCCCCAAACTGGTACGTCGTCATTTCGACATGTCGCAAACAACGACAATAAAGGGTGAGGGGATCATACTCGTGGTACAAAATCCCCGCCCGCGCCCACGACGCACCTCGTGTCAAAGCACAAAAGGAGCAGTAAAGGCAACAAATGATTTCCCCGTGTTCCCGTCGATCCAATCTTTTCCAGCCTGCCCGGAGGGAACGGGGGAAGTACCTAGTTATGAATGCCCGGCTCGCCTCCGCCGCCAACCCATTGGCCCCAAAACCATGGCACCCGTCAGCCCGGCGCAGCTGAAAACGAGGCGCTGCCACCAGCAAAAGAGTCAATGTGACTGACATGTACGGGGTACCCGCGTGCCCGTTGTGCAACCAAGACAGGTCAAGTCTGGTGTACTCTGTACTCTGTGCGGCATGTCCGGCCTCCCCCAGATTTGCCCAACACATTTCGACACTTTCTTTTTTTTTTGTCTCCTTCGCACTCGAATTATGCGAACCATTTATTCTCGCGCCATTTGTTAATGTACAATGTACACAATTCATTCAAACTTCCTTCAAAAATCTGGGCGGCCAAACCAGGAGCAGCCTACAGTTACATACGCTGAAGAGCCCTCTCCCAGAAAGGCACTCCCGTGTCGATCACGTCCCCAGCATCTCAGCCACCAGCAGCCTGCTCCCGGCCTTGGAGCTCAAGTCACCGTCATGTTACAGATAGATGGGCGGGACTCGAACCAGGCCGCTGGGCCCGGCAGTTGCCGAATTCGGGGGGAGGCGCGCCTTTGAACAACAAAAAGAAAAAGTCTGGTGCACCAGACGTTACGCAGAACTTTTTCATCTTGTGTGAGTGACTCTTGCTTACAGAGGGCTCTGCATCATTGTTCCCCTTTTCTTGTAACGTAATCGAATTTTTTTCATTTTTCCCGTGCTTCCTCACCCCCCTTCTTCTCTACCCCCCCCGTAACCAGAAATCTTGAAACAATGTCGCAGGTTTTTGGTGCCGGCGGCCCCAATGTGAAACGTGTTTTGCGGTGCGTGTTTGCCATCTGGGTGGGTTCGGTGTGCGACCCTGTGGTGTTGATGACTCTGTGCTCAGACGCTGACATCCTGTAATTGGAGTTGTGTATTCTCGTCAATGGGCCCAATGTTACAGTCTGGCGGAACATATTTGTCCATCGAGATGTTTACACTAATATACCAGCCAGGTACCTCATCTAGTTAAATACATGTTGCCTCCCACTGTACATCTTTCTTCAAGACCATATCTGCCCAGAAAAAAAGTCCACAGTCGTGCTTCAAAAAAACAAAAGCAAGGAAATTCCGTCAATTTGTCACAGTCATCCCACCATGCCTTTCTGCTATGAATGTAGAAGCGGGAGGGGGGCCGGCTGAGGCGGATAGATCAAGCCCTTGCTTTTCACTTTGTCATTATCATCTTTGACAACATATATACCATCTTGTTTCGTCTTTGCTCCCACAGACGGCCATTTTCGTTCCCAAACAGCATCGACAGGAACATGTTCTTCAACCAGACTCATGTTGAGTATCATGCTTAACTCGGGGCAGTATTCAAGAATCTGTTTCATCTTCTTGTTCGTGCGTGCCCCACGGTCCGGCCATGTACTCCGTTCTGTAACGTGATATCCCATTGGTTCATGAGGGAAGACATGCTCTGCCGATATGATGCCATGGAAGTTGGACGCGACCTTTTCTCCCGGTAGAGCTGCAATGCGTTTTCTGAACCATGCGTCCTCTGGTTCAGAGTTGTTCTGCCGCCGCTGGAAGCTGAGGATACGTCGAACCACTGAAGTTCGGCGTAACGACAAACCACCCGTGTCAGAGAGCTTGTCACCATGGGCTTTCCTGCTTATCATCGTTAGAACATGCCTCACTGGTTATTCCCCATCATGAAACCCCGGAAAAAAAAAGGAGGCAAGGGATAAAGAGTATACCGAAATGCACCGGCCCAGCTCCAAGAAAGCCATTCGTCCAAGCTGACAGCTGAATTTGCACACAATATACCGTCATGCGCAAACTTGAAAATCCACTCCACATCTCGAAGAACTTCGTAGTAGAGCCGCGCATCAGTTAGTAACCTCGACTCGTCCTCGGGACTCTCCAGCTTCCACGGTTTCGGCACCTTTAACAGCTCCAGTTTCCCAGAGTTCTTATGGAACTGAATAGCCTTGGACTTCCCCACGCTGTACACACTCTTTGATGAGCCGATGAAGAGAAAGCGCCAGTCGGGAGGTACAACTGCCATCATGTGTAGAATCAGCGGTGCAAGACGCGGCAGCGGTCTTGATTCCACCATGAGAGCTAGTTTTGATGCATTGAATGGGCTGACTACTTCTTTTGGGACACCTGAGATCTTGGTCCATGCATCTTGGACATGAAGTGGGAAGCCGGGCAGTATGCTGTGCTGTCGAAGAGGTACAACTACCCACCAACTGGCTTTGCGTTAGAGACGTCTAGTTCATGCAGAGGGGTGCATACAACGTACATGGAAATTAGGAATATCCCGAAGAGGAGGCGTAGTTTCTTGGTAATTGTCATTGTGTAACGTGGTAGCTTGAAGGCTTTCATCATGGTGACTGCGAGGCGGTGCTGCACGAAACGCTGAATCTTGGGGTGGGTGGATTTCGTCGGAAAACCTCCAGTGCTCTCTTCGAGATGATCATGACATCTGTAAAACTGCGGCAGCTGTCAGGCACTTGGAGAAGCGGGAGTTTGTCGACAGGCATGGCCTCTGTCTTCTGGTCTTCTGGGCAGGAGCGAGCAAGGACAACAGCACCAGGCGCTCGCATGCGACAGCATTGAACCCAGGGCTCAGCTGGCTTCCAAGGCGCGGTCTCTAGTCTGTAGCCGTCACTGCCAGCCACAGGTATGGAAGTTTGACTCTTCATTTGGCAAATGGCTTGTTATGATGCTTGGCTGCTGAAATCGTACGGCTGGGACGACATGTGCAATTCCTTTACTTGTTCAACACCAAGGAAGCAACGCATGTTGATAGCCGCCTATGATAGCATCACGATTGGGACCATCTGAACTTTCATGGTAGAAAAACGCATCAAGATTAAAACAACGTTGATTGAATAACAACACACGATTATACATGCACCAATATACCTGCTGTACACACCCATTTTTCGTAGCTCATCGTTAGCCTTTCCTCCTCATCTCATTCGTCCCTTTCATGCGCCATCTTTCCCAACCCCCCAAATACGTACAAAATAGTGCCCAGACTTCATGTATACGCTACAGAGTCGGTATGAAAAACACCCAGTACTACAGGACATGGGGCTATTACCAATGCAGCATCTAGCCGGCCACAACCCGCCCAACAACACCAGCCAACTCCCCAAACAAAATCCCTTTGAACACGTTCTCACCCATGTCTTGCGTCCAGGCACCTGCATCACGAAGCCTCTCCTTCCACGCGTTCTGTTCATCCACGTGGAGCTGATCCCAAGTTCTCGCCGAGCCGTGGGCATCAGAGTTGTGCACGTTGACTCGGAGCTTCTTGGGTGCCTGCTCACCATCACCCTCAACAACGACCGGTTCGTCAGCTTCGAGTAGGACAAACTTCTCTCCGGATCCCAAGGTCATGTCACCATCGACCAAGCTTGAAATGAGCCCATTCTCAAACGAACACGAGGATTGCGTTTTTGGCTGTCGGAGGCTTCCGTGCCACGAGGGCAAAAACGGTTGTGCAAAGATGACGGGTTTGCCTGCGCCGTACAACTCCTTTACGGACTGGGCAACGATCGCGAGAATAAGCACAATGATACTGAGGGTTATGACAAGCGGCCGGGCGGATGGGGCGCGGGACTGCATGGCAACAACGTAGCGCGTTGGTCGAGGAGGACCTTTCCTGTTCCGAGGGGCTTGCACGTCAACGAATTTCTTGAGTGGGATGCTTTGGATGGCGACGGTTTTCTGCAGCGACGTGCTTGCCAGCTTAACGTATTGTGCTCGGATATGCGTCTTGGGCGTGATGAAAGTTGAGAGCGCGAGACCTGAGACATTATCACTGCCGTGGACGTTCTTGAGTGTGTAGAAAGGATAGAGGTTGAGAAGCAGGTTCAATGCCGGTGAGACTTGATGTTCCAGTGTGTATAGCGAAATTGACGAATCGTTGCCAGCAACAGCCACCACAAACTGTGCGTTGCCTACCGGGGCCGTGGGCGACGCTGGCAACGACAAGTTGGTCACAGCCAAAGCTATCGCCGACATTTTGCGCGATATCTTCGCCGTGGCAGCCAATCTAGCCTTCTCGTGGCCGGGTGAAGGCAACCGCAGTCCCTGAATAAGCGCGCCGGTATTCTTCTTGGGCAAATTGGAAACCGCAAGAATAAACTCTGGGGTCAAGTACCGAATGGATCTGAATTGCGGTCGCTCCCCATGGTCGTCCGGCATAGAAAACACCATCTGGGGCTCGCTATTCCTCTTGCTTCCGATGTTGACAATGTAAAGCTCGTAACGGTCAACATAGGCCAGCTGGAACTCATCATCTCCTGTCTGAATAATATCTACGGCCTCGGCTTCCTTAGTTAGCTCTAGCACTCCGCGTATTTTCGGGTTCGGCGTAGTCGTCTCAAACACGGCTATTTGAGGTTCTTTCCCCAGAGCAGATGCTGCGGCGCCAATGGATCCCGAGACACGCAACAAACGCTGATATGCGTTGGCATCCGGGTTCGCAAAGAGCGCTGTACGGGAAACTTCGGCGATTTTGGCCTCGGGGAAGACTCTGGGCTTCGAGGGGTTGCTTGTCATGGCAGCCAGTGGCCTTGCTTTGGAAGGATCGACAGAGAAGAGGCGCAAGTGCTGATTTATGCCTTTAGCAATTTCTTCTGGAGAGGAGTTGATGCCTGCGTAGACGTATGTAGTTTTGCCCTTGTGGGGGCCGACGGCGATAGACATGACGCTGTCTTCGTCGCGAGATAGCTCGATTTCGCCCGCTGCTCGGATCTCGTCTTGGTGAGAGACATCAAAGACGGTCTAAGATGAATGACAGACAGTGTTAGCCAAGCATTTGTTGGAATGTTTGCTCGTGAAAGTCGTGGCTCGAAAAGCGCTCCCAGTCCACAGCGACTTGGGAGACGGCAATCTGTCGTAAAACCACATACAATCTTGTTGCCGACACCAGAACACCCGGCACCACCTCCACCACCAACAACTAATCTATTCGCATCCTCAGGATCAAAGTCGATTGAGTAGATCGGGTAATCAACCTCGGTGTTTGCACCTGGAAACGGGGGAGCCATGACTGGCAATAGGCCCAGACTCGGGAGTTGAGCTGAGCGGCCTTGGAGCTGCGGATGGTAAGGGTGGAAAGACAATTGTTTGTCGGAGTGTGGTTATTATTCGCTCTATAGGATGGCGAAAGCCATGAATGCGACAAGGTGGCTGTAGGTTGATTGAGGATTCGGAGCTGAAGTTGGGCGGCTCAAGGCCAGATGTTCGGATCAGTTTCCTTGGAGATGTGACTTGAGCTGGCTGCAATAGGTCAACGTAATACATGATGGATGCCGCAGGGCCACGACGTTTGGGTAAGACCCGCTTTTATCGAAGCTTGCACTCGCTTGCCACGATTGGCAGCTAGGTTCTTGACTGAATCCATCCATCTAAATCGGAAGGCATCGAAAAAGGCCATCTTTCAATTGAATAGAAAGGTCGTAGCCAGTAGGTTTGCTAGCTAGCTTCTAGTTTGAACCTTCTAGATGACTCACTTGATGACGTGTTTTTGACGAGGTACTTATCGACATCAAACCTTTGTTTCAATGTCAATTGATTATGGTTCAGCCTTCAACTCTCCGTCAAGTTTACATGCACCGCCTTCACACTATAATACCCCCTCAACCCATCCTCGCCCAACTCTCTTCCTATCCCACACTCTTCAACGCCGCCAAAAGGAGCCCTCACGTCGAAATCACTACTACTGTTAATCCAGACCATGCCAGCTTCTAATTCTCTAGCCACACGATGTGAACGGGCCATGTCCCGCGTGAACACAGCCCCAGCAAGCCCGTACTGCGTCGAGTTGGCAATATCGAGTGCCTCCTGCTCAGTCTTGAATTGTGCTACCGCAGCACAGGGTCCAAAGATTTCTTCCTTGAAAATAGTTGCTGCCGTGTTGACATCAGTAAAAATGGTGGGTGGGACAAAAAACCTCGTTCCAGGAAGTTCTGGATAGCCCTGCATGGATGTATAATGTTTACATTCTCAGTCTGAGCAGTTCTGATATAAGACAAAACGCGATCTCGCTGCGCAGCGCTGACTTGTGGTCCTTGGTAGGTTGTGGCCTCGAAGGGATCACCTAACATGGATGTTTTGCTCGTATAGTCGGTGAATTCCTCGACAAATCTGTCGTAAATTCCGTCCGGCACCAATAAACTAGAGGTTGCTGTGCATACAGGTCCCTGATTTGCCATGATGCCCTCATGGACCCAACGCACCGCTTGATCCAGATTGGCATCATCAAACACGATTAGCGGTAGCTTGCCGCCAGTCTCCAGCGTAACGGCCTTCATGGTTGTAGATGCCATACGCATAACATGTTTGCCCGTGGCAGTGCTACCCGTGAATGCAATCTTATTCACGTCTTTGTGTAATGCTCGCGCCGCACCTGCTAGCCTAGGGAAACCGAATAAGGTTTTCCATTGTCAAGGGTATCGATAACCGCAAGAGTTTCGCGGTGCTGATCAACTAAATCGGCCAACTTGTTCATTAGGTGGCCGCGCTCTGTGCCCACAATAACTTCCAGGATGGGTTCTTTAAGGCGAGACGAGACGCGACGGCTGCATGGACATCCTGAGGAGTTGCAGCTACCACTTGGCAAATCTCCGTCTCTTTACTGTGGGAGCCGTGAGCGGGGAGGTCATCTGGAGAGGCAAATGTAAATAGACGTACTATGGATGGAACGAGGTGATTCGTTTCCCCTTTGCCGAGTCCCTAAACCCATTGCCGATAAATAGACCCAGCGGCTGCGACCATGATTTGCCATTCGGCGCAGTCAGCTCTGCTTCAATATCGGAAGAGCGTGTCGTGTAGGCCTGCCAACGAACTCGCCGTAGGCCGTTTCGCACCTGTCTAGAACCTGGGCAGACCTGGTCAATCGGCTGCCAAGACAGGCCTGGTGAGCAACTGTCCTTGTACACATACTCACCTGCTGAGGTATGACCTTGTGGGAGCTTCCCAGTTCCCAGTCTCCTCCGTTACCGGCTTCCAGCACAGTCAATGGGTATGTGATTACCCCGGCAGTGGCATGTGAAGCACGGTAAATGTCGATCTTGCGGCGGAAGCAAGCTCAGGTTGTAACTTCGCACGTAGTACTCCGTACAGGAAGGAGGTGGCACTGGTGCAGGATGCACGTGGTCGACGGCCTACCGATTACATTGGAAATGTGGGGATCGTTCATGGTTTCAAACGTCAGCTGGTGATGAATATGCATGCAAATTAAGCCAAATGTGTAAATGTGATGTCCATTCTGTTTTCCTGCTAGCTAATCGACTACATCTATAATCATACTGCTTCAAGTTCAACAAGAGTCAAAATATGCTCTGCTCTACGTCGGCATACACATACAATCCTTTTAACTAGATAAATAAAAAAAACGCCTCCAAACACCGCAGCTCTGCAGCTTCTCAACTTTCTGTTACCAGAATCCGGGTTCCTGATGATCTGTAATTGCTTGGGTATCTCTTGTACATGCGCGCTCTTCCCATCAGTCGCTTCAACGACGGGTATTTCGTAGGATGTAAGCACCAAAACAAAAAATAAAGAAATAAAGAAAAGAAAGAAGGAGAGGGAGTGAATAAATGAATTAAACATGACAAAATATGGAAGAGGAGTATCGATGCTTTCATAAACGTTTGGTTGTTCAGACTTCCTCCAACTCGCAACCGCACTGCCTATTGGTCCGTATTGCTTAATTGGGTGCGTGATGCCGGCCTTGCTATACAATTGTGGAAGCTATTACTGTTGTCTGGTTAGTACTATAGAGTCGAGCCATAACCATCCAGTAAGTTCGCAGCTAAAAGTCCAACAAGCGCAGGCCGGAGACATCTCCGTACTCCTTCCGGCGCTGATTCGTCTCTTGTGACTATCTCCAGGGTGTCTGCAAAGGTCCCCAAACAGACACCAAATCAGAACAAAGATAGAAACATATTCAACTGAACGCAGACTCCGATTGCCAAAATACAAAAGTGCCGGTTGCCCAGCTAAACATGTATCCTCATTGTCCGCAAGAAGAGTCGTGTGGACCTAAAAGGGTAAAAAAGTGCATAAATTCCAGGATGCTGTGTATTTTCGTCCAGGAGGAGTTGGCTTTGAGCCGCTAGTAGTCGTGTCGTCCTTAGAACACCGTTTCCTTCATATTCAGCTCTCGTAGACGTAGTTCTAATGAGCTCGGGATGCAACCCAGCGCTCCCTGATTCACCAAGGGTGAGTTTGACTATCACCCAGCTTTCTCGGGACAGTTGCCCAACCTGTTTGAACCTGCCGTGGAGGCACCGGGCGCCATTGGCCTGTTCTAGGGTCTTGTTCGTGTGCTTGTCCAGACCCGATATGTTGAACCGTTGGAGAGGGCCCTTCCATGGCTCTTAGAGGTGGCAGTCTATCACCACTTCCCGACGACGCAGCCGATGCAGGACGAGGCGGGATGTTGTAAAGATGACCATGAGGCGGTGCCAACCCGACCGGAGTCATGCCAGGCCCAGGCCCGGCAAAGTCTGCTCGCTCTTCTATCTTTGGTCGCTGCGCTGCTCGATCCATAGAGGCAGGATCGCTCGAATAACCCTGTGTTGGTGTTGGTATGAGGTGCTGCGGTACAGGGCTGTGATCTGTGTGTGAGCCGATACTCCTGGTGGGAGTTGGGCTTCGGGGTCCGGCTGCATGCTGATGAATGCCGGGCGTTCGAGATACAATATCTCGTAATCGATTCCTCTCCTCTCGGTAAAAATCACGTTGACGTCTCAAGTAATCCATCTCTTCGGACATTTGCTGTCGCTCATCCTTCAGTTCCTGTAATTGCCTCACATTTTCTTCTTGCATTGTCTTTTTCTTCCGGCGGTGTCTAGTTGACGCTTTCGCATTACGCTGTCGTTTCTCGTCCGCTTTCCTCGAGGCTTGCGAGTAGTCTACTTGAACAGGTATAGGGATATCGCTGCCCGGCAGTGTCATATAGGCTTGCTGTCCCTCCATGCTCCCCGACCCGGCAGATCGGCGCATAACTTCTGTCCAAGGAGAACCCTCGGGCGGCTGGCTCACGCTGGGTGTCTGCCCTTGAGGTTGCCCCAGCTGGAACTGAGCGTGAGAAGTCGGTGCTTGAATGTCGTGGGCCGGACCTGGTTGTCCCTGAATGCGAGATGACTCAGTAGCTCTATTCATCGGCTGTGAGAGGGATCGGGTTGGTGGAATAGGGACTTGTGGCCCAGTTTGGGCAATTCTAGGAGTCTGATGGAAGCTAGGGAGCTGCCTAGGCTCGTCTGCCGAGTCGACTTCATATGGACGTTTGGCTGGCGATACTGAAGGAACGTATCCGTGTTGTCTGCGATCAAACTCGCGGGGCGGACCACTACTCTGGCTCAGACTCGAAGACCGTGGTACTTTCGGACTGAGAGCTTTCCTAGGCTCATTCACATTGGGGAATGGGTACCCTACAGTTGGAGATTGCCGTTCGGGTCCAGGCACCAAATTGGCGTTCCCGACAGGAATTCCTGGATATGATGCAGACGCTGAGTGGCCGGAACCTGGCTGTCGCGAAAAACCATGCGTCCAAGATGAATACGCGCTTGCAGACTGCTGTCCAATTTGCGCAGAGGAGTCACGAGCCATGCGTGAGTCCTTTGGTCGTGGATCTGATGGATTCAATATATTCAGCATGCCTAAAGACTTGGGCGGTACCTGTTGATTTCGACCGGAGTTTTCTTTGGGTAGTAGCTTTATGGCATCATTGGCTGCGTCATTGCTACCAACAGATTGTCCAAAAGGGCAGGTCCCTATCTCTGCCGGTGTAGTTGGAGACGTGGAAGTTCGACGAGATGTAGGTCGAGTCGAAGTGTCTCTCTGGGACATTGAGACCTGAATCCCTAACTGTCCTTGGTCCCGAAGACCGGCACATTGATTTTCTCTCCTATCTGTCGCTGCTTTTTGGGTAAAATCTTGAAGTTTTGGCGGCACTGGCAAAGTCTTATTTCTCCAAGAGGGAGTAGACGGTGTGCGAGGAGAGTTTGGAGTGGTCCCAAATGTTGAATCGCTAGTCGCAGAACCGGGGCTGTCTTGGGCTATTGGTGCCTGTAGAGGCAGAGCAGTTGATGATTGCGCCAGATTGGTCGAATAAAATTAGGACCGGCTGGGAGTTCTCACCCAAACAGTCCCGATACCAGCAACTCAAGTTTCCGAACAACTCCCAGCCCACGACCAGCGCACCGCGGGGACTCCTGCCGCGCAGATTCAAACAAGTGATCGTGGTGACAACCGAGCAGGGGGAACACTTCTCAGAGCTAGACGCAACTGGTATTGATGCAAGCGGTATATTAGATACTCGATCAAAATGACAGAAAGCAGCAAGACACATTCGTTCTGCTCAGTACGTAAAATTGAAGTGTGAGAATTCGCCTGGAAGAACCGATAGCTATTCTCTTCTCTTCGGGTTCAAAGCTTAAGCCGGATCCCGTTAGACAAACTGTCTGCCTCCCACAGTCGTTATAACTGCGCTTCCAGCACTTTTGCCACGTTCTCTGCGGAGATCCGTAAGAAGCCTTGATGCCTTTGGGACACCTGAAACCTAGCAGACAAGACAGCAGAGCCAAAGTGAATTGTAACTCCGAGCGAACTATAGGATAGCGGCAATGGTTTTGTTCGGTATGAGCTGGGAGCAAAATAATGCGAACACACTGCAGAAGAGAGACCTTGGTCGGTATAGAGAGGGAAATCGTTGATGATGCGAATTTGGTAGGAGGTGTTAAACACCAACCTCTATTTAGAAGACGGCCCCTGGTCGCCGTGATTGGTGAGCAAAGCCGACTTCACCCAAGTGCCAATGAAATTCGACCATAAAGGCAAGTTGAGATGTGGACAAAATCAGCCACGGCGCAGAAGAATGTGTACAAGTGCAAATGGTTGGAGCTGATCGAATCACACCACGATGAAACGTCCGCCACACCTGATGTCGTTTTCAAGCCCAGCTTGAGCTGTCTCGCGGAAGACGAATGAAAAAGGCTAGGTGCGTGTATGGGGAAGGGGAACAAAAGAATTTCGAAGAGAGAAGAAAAACGGTACGATAGAAGAAGCTGTCGATGTGTTGGCCGTCACAGGGCCAACACCCCAGGGTCCGTCATAGTTTGTCAACTACCAACTACATACTAGCATGAACGGAGTAGTAGTACATCTACTTCTTGGAGAGCACCCCATCTTTGTCCCAGTTACAACGTTCACTTTGTCTTGCCACCCCAGCATACATATTGTCGAGCGAACAGGGGGTACAATTCTTGCAGGCTCCGGGTGCTATGGCCACCCCGGCAGCAACAGGGCTCAGATAGTTGGGTGGCTATTGTGGTCAAGGCCAACCTGGGTGCCAAATTTCCTTTTCGCCCTTGTCGTAAGACACTTGCAAGAAGAATGATCCTAGGGGCTCTATGGTCCAAAGTCAACGTCAACATTTCGCTGACCATTGAATTAGTTGCTGCTCCTCATCTATAGGCTATTATCTGGCAAAAGCATTCTTCTTCCTCATCCCCGCTCGCGTGGAAGGCTTGAGTGTTTGAAGTGTATGCCCCATGTACCTGAATGTAAGCCCGTTCTCGGTATTTCTCATATGAGAGCCTGAAGGGGTGGCCAATACGGGTCAATGACGGGCAGTACTATATCAATGACATGCCTCTTGCTTGACCCAGTTGCCGGGGATGGCTCGAAAAAGGCAGCCCTAGGGCCTATTGTAAAGTAGGTGGCGCAGGCGGGAGTTCCTTCCGAGCTGATAATGGCCTTTGGGAACATGGTGATGCTGCACTATTCGTCCCAACTAAGACTCCATAGTTGATGAGAGCGGTCAGCGGGGTTGGGTCCCTGGACCAGAAAAGTGACGAATGGTTGAGTGAGGCACAGTACAATCGGATCCAGTCGCAGTCTCTTCGCCTCGAGCAGTTTTGGGCTCACGAACTTTCGAGCCAGGCCAGCGGTAAACACGGTCAGACCCATGACACGTCGAATGTGCAGAAGCGGCGACGTGGATTCCCAGTTGAGCGGTCGAAAGCAACAACTAGCTTCAGGTACCTGAGTGGGTCAACGTATCAATTTCTAGGCTCGATTGAGTCTAGGCTAGACACCCAAGCAGAGTGGCCACAGGCTCAGGAAGAGACAGAGGCACTACAACAACAATGTCATGCAGACAGTGAGCGCCTGAGAGCCGTCGAGGAGAGA